TAACATGCGAGCAGTAATAGCCTATAGTCATGATTACCGTAGTTTTATTTCATATACTGAACATGGAATAAAAACAATTAATAAATAAATTTATTATATCATCATCAGTCTCGAGATAATGAAATGTTTCTTGGGTAACTCTTAAACTTCGATGTGTTGCGTACTTAGAATTAATATGGTTGCTATTTATGACATACAAATGAATGTGTTACAATTAATTTAGATTCATTACTGTTTCGGATGTAGCTATACACTTGTATAGTGCAAGCTTAGAATCAGATTTAATGGGACTTGTTTGGCTTCTAAATGTTGAAAAAGATTTGCCACTAAGAAAAAATTAATTTGTTGCGTCGTTTACTCACTACAGTTACTCAGTTAAGAGAAAGTACCCGGAGGACCAAGCTTTGCTCGGTTTGTTTTTTTTTTTTTGGTAAATCGTGTATTTTGGAAATTAAATTTAGATACAAATTAGTGAGTAATGAAATATGCATAATATTTTTCGATCTTACCGACATAATAATAAGAAAATATGAACTGATGTTTTTCGCAAAAGAAAGAACTTTAAAAAAGGAGGAAAAAAATAACAAAATAACAAATCGACAAAAAATTAAAAATAAAGAAAGCAATGATCTGGAATCGGAATCGAAAAAATCGTGACGCGAACCACGGCCGTCTGTTTTGGGGCCGCCCGATTACCGACCGAGCTATTTATGACATTTTCTCTTGCGGCGAAATTTACCGTCATATTCGAATTATATTTTTCATTCCCTGAAAACAGGGATAAAAGGACATTTTCTAAAAATTAAACCTAGCTAGATCGATTTTTCGCTCCCGAATCTATGCACATACAAAATTTCATGAAAGTCGCTGGAGCCGTTTCCGAGATTCCGATTATATATATATATACAAGAATTGCTCGTTTAAAGGATAAGATTTGTGTGGTAGGGCCATGCGACAGCGAAGACTGTTCTATTTATTTAGGGTAAGTACAACGGCCTCACAGAAGACTGTTGTGAAAGTGGAAGTGCTTTTCTTCTGCGTTAGCCGGAGAGTTAACAAAGTGGTTAAAAAGAGCCAACGCATCAGCAACACTGAGGGCGTTACAAATGTCAACGAGCGGCGGTTTTCACTTAACATCGGGTGAACCGCCAGTTCGTGCCACTTTCGCACACAAAAACAAAGAAAAATATCGCTTGTTTATGTGAAATAGTGTCTAGCAACTGTCAATATAAAAGTCTCTCCTGCTTTATTGTATTGTTTTTTTGTGTCTGATAAGTACAGGTAAGTTAATTGACAGACATACGTGTCACTGCAGGCCAAAGGTCTTTTCCGAGCAGAGGGTACTAGGGAATACTCAATCATATTATCAAAAAATTTCTTATTATTGTAAATTTGAACATAAATTCAGGTTTCCACGCGTTATTTTGCTGCACCGCCAGACAAGTTTTGTCAAAAATTTCACCGTTTTAAAAATCGCACCTGGTTCTAAATCAATGCATAAATCAGCAATTTTGATGGATACCTTCAACATTCAGGCATTATCACAATTATGTATGATGTCTACACTTAGAAATGCATTGGTGCCACACCGGGATTTGAACTCTCAGACTGTAAGCTCTTCCGCAGTAAGTCACCTCCTGGTCATGTTTTGATTTGACTTTTTTGTGCTTTGTTCTCCGGTCGTGACGTCACGGCGTGCGCGGCGACCGTGAAGCCGCTTCCGGCAGAACTTCCGCCTTCCACGGCACATTATCCCCTCAGTTAGATCTGACGAACTTGTCGACCGCCACTCTTCACACTATATCATTGCACGTCATTATTGATAAATACTTTGGAAACTTGAAGATTCTCATCGTTGAAACAACGGCTCCTTCCAGTACAATTTACAATGAGAGTTCTTCCGTTATTTTTAAGTACATTAATTACTTCAACAAATATGATTTAGTTATGTTCGCCGTCAGGTTTGTTTTATACAGCGTGTCGTAACAACCGCGACAATAAATGAACTTACATCTAAAGCTACTTGCCAATAAGCATAAAAATATATAAAACGTTAAAAAAATCCATAATTAAAAAAAAAACAAAAATTTGTAACATCCTATACAACTACAGCTTACTGATTCATACATTCAGACACTTTATAATTCGTTGCCGCAGCGTCGCATTACAAATCTCTCCTTCTAGCAGTATGTTTTATCCCTTTCAAATTCATTCAACCCATTCATATTATGCTTTGTCACCTTTACAAATGAACTTTACAGTTTTACGTTACAGTTTTAAGAGTGTTTTTCTAAAATTGTTTGTTTTGGAAAATTCAATAACTCGGTAAATATTGATGTTTACGGAATGTAGATCAATACAATTTTAATAAGTTATCCTCTAAATGTGTATTGATTCATGGTCGCGTTAGTAGCGACACGCTGTATATTAGTTATCGCTGTTTTCTTTCTAAGAGATTTATCAGTCACTGCATTTCTTCGCCGTGATAATCGTCATTTTGAACGAGTATGCGTTCTAACAAAACACTTTTCTATAGTTGCACTCTTATCTTATGTGCGCTGTAATGCTAAAGCCGGTTGTAAATATTAACACAAGTGTAGACTGCGCGGCGTAATAATTTAAGATATCGAAGACTAATTATCGATATATATTCTTGAAAATACTTGTGAATTTTGTTGAAAATCGTTCAATTCTAAAATAGCTTTAATTTTCCATGTTGGCTCCATATTGGCTTGATCAATGTTCGCGTGTGTTCACCATCGTTTCGAATCCGACGACCGAGCCGGAAGATCTTAACCGTTTAATCCACGCAACCCCGATGGTAAAGAGAATCTCGAGTAAAAGTCATTCGGTGAAATCATTGTGGTCGGAATCCATTCTAAACATCGTTCTCCAACTATTCAATTATACACGGCCGTCGGACGCCTAACGGCGCTGCTGCAGCGACAAAGAACAACAAAACGTCCAATGGAAAACTATAGAAAGCCGATACGGACCAATGGGACCGCGCGAAACCCGATCCGAACGCAAACATCGATATTCCGAGAGGTTGTTGTGACATACCGTCTGGTACGATGCAACACGATCTCCTCACGCGAATGATTGTATCAATATTTTTTCGTGCTGTCGGCAGTGTGTCTCGGCATGTAGCCGTGTCGGCGTTTTCGTTCGTCTCTATTGCGGATTGGTGATATTGGTGCTTCGCGAAATGCTTTGAAATAGTTCCAAGTGACATAGCTCGGCATTTCATTGTAGCTATGCACGAGTTTCGTGTTCTTTCCGCCGATGTATTAAATTGTCTTATGTTGCTCTATTTTTATAATAATATTCATAAGTTAGTTTGCAACTTTCTGCATCAAATTACAACTATGTCGTTGTGTAGATTTATCGCACATGCTAAGTAAACAGGTCATAATCAACATATAAACATATACAGCGCTATTAATATTTCAACTTTTTTCACGGATGTGGCTTTTAATCACTCCGTAAGTAAATTAAATTAATTTTGTTGCAAAACATGATGATTCAGGCATAATTAAAATTAAGTAAAAAGTAAAGAAAAATACGGTTACGATTAATAAAAATTCAAAAATGTCAAGTATGACATTATCAAATGGATGTTCGGTCTATAAAGATGTAAAACTTCAAATCGACGCCTTAAACTTGGAATATTTGTGTTTTATTAATAAAAAGTATTCATTTGCTTTACATATCGTCGCGCCGGAATGAGAAGTATAATTTCTTCGAAAACAACCTACGTTAATAATGTCACATGATATTCTGCGAAAATTCTTTATTAAGATTAATTATACTATGAAACAAAAACACTGGTGGGCAGTCCACACAAACTGCTGTTATACCTACAGTGTTCGGAACTAAAGTAAATTCACACGATACGTCGCTGTCGAAAATTGTTTGAAAACCGTTTTAACCTTATTCCTTCGCCCCTAATAGAGTTTTATATTTAGATTCTAAATATACGCGGGATCATATCGTACGTTTGTTCCGTCTAAACGAATGGTACGGAGAACCACGTGGAAACTTTTGTTTGTTTTAATTCGGGAATCACAGCTCCCGGCCACTGACATGTGAGTTTAGAGTTTAGACGTAAACATATTAAAGAATTTTGGTATTTACGTAGCTAGATGTATGCATATCTGGATGGTCCGTCCGATTCACGGGTAGATCAGCTAAAGATACATTGTATATACTGAAATAATTTTCAAACGTTTAATAAATCAGCATATCGCCTAAGTTAATATGATAATCTGAACCTCAGAATGTGTCAGCCATGTTGCCTTTTCTTCCGAGTTTATCTACACATATTTACTTATGTTACTTCGGGATACGGTAGTTGTATGGGGGAAAATAAAAGATGGGTTCCAAAACCGCCCCATTACGTATAAAAACCAAACTATATTTACCCACATTATAGTATCGTAAATAAAAGTGTATACTATTTTAAAGCCTCTCAGCCAGTGATACAACGCGGACAATAGCTCGGAATAATTTGAAACTTGGCGAGCTGCGCGCACGGAATAGAAAGTGTCAAGCGACGATGTGACTATGTCGCCGTAACCTTACGACGTGGCGAGAATGCTCATGAGCATATCGCGCATTGAGCCGACTCAAATCGGCGTCTCCGATAAGGAACTGGATCAAGTGGCTGTTTAAATTGAACGCGCGAGCGAAAGTGTCCCACTCTACTCACTGAACAATCGAGTGCTCTCGGATGTGTCACCGAGATGGATGACGGATGTCGGATGTCAACACAATAAAGATGGCGATAAAAAACACCCGCCACGGCGCCTCTGATGAGACTGCCAAAGTATAGAACCTCGTTTCCGTTTTTGGTTTTAAAACATTGCAACATAAGGCCGCAGACAAAACTAAACACGTAGAATATAAAACCTCTTTCTTTTTTGAATTGTTTAAAAAAAAGGAAAATCACACGCGTTATAATCGCGTCCGACGGTGATTTCAAAGCACTCGTCTACTCAAACCGTCCGCGGTTTGACCGTAAACGGCCGCATTAATTTCTTTCCGATGAAACAGCGGCGTAGCGGTATCGGGGCAAGCTGAGAGACGCCCCAAGGCGACCCAGATCTTCCACGGCGCCAGACGGTTCCCCGTGCGGGCCGGTCGCACGAGAAACGCGACGCGCACGCATCTACTGTGCCAGTGAACGCCGTGCGGCGATTAGTTAACGCGCTGCGACAAAGTCTACGTTTATTTTTGTCCCGGGAGCAGCGACCCGACGACGCCTTGTACGAAAACCCATTCATTCGGCGAATGATTCATCGTGCAGCGTGTATTGTTCGCGCCCACGCTCCGGTCGTATGCTAAACGACTTCCCTCATTTTAGAAACGATCTTAGAGCGCACGCAGTTAGACCCCCGTTTGTGTCGACGCACTACATTTCACCTAGAAGCGTATCTTTTGTGTTACACAAACCGAGCCGTCGGGTAAAAACTGACACACTTTTCCATTCCCCATTGTCGATCCGTGTTTTCGGCGACGTTGAAAAAGTGCAAAGCAAATTTCCGGTTGACGAACGGAACGAATGAAACCTATCTCGCGTAGTCGCGACAGGATCGGTCGAGTGACACGATTAGGTAGAAGAAAAGATTCCGGCCCGCGACCGTCTGGCGCGGTGGGGCCGGCCTTGTTGGTTACGTTAATGACAACCGTGAGTGTCGGATTAAGCCAAGTTGCAGTTTCTAAAAATAGAATGATATTCCCTTAATTTTTGAACGGTTCGTATTCCTTTTTTAAAAACTAAAATTGTTACATTTTTTAAATACTTCATGTTCGTATAAAAATTTTGAGCCTGCTCATTACTTCATTAGAAGAGCCCTTATCAGCCCTCCGTACAATTTCTTTTACTATGTTCCCATAATTGGGTAGTTTTCTTATTAAAACTCCATTCTGTGGAACAATCCACTTGAGGCAAAGGCACCACTTCTGATGCATCATTAAACTAAAGGGAAATGAACAAGCCAATGGCATACCACAGAACTAACATTATAAGTAACGATAAAAACAAGACAATTAAAGTATTCACGGCAATCGATGCAATACTAGGAAGTCGGAAGCGTACGCATGCTTACAATGCACGCGACTTGACCATGCTCTATACTTATAGGCATGAACTTTCGATGCATCGCGGAAATTGTCTACTTGTAGAGGTATTATTTTATAAAGGTGTTCATCTATATCAAGTAACCTTTGCCTTTCGTTCATTCCTGTGACTAGTAATTCTCCTTCGGATTCAGCGCCTCTTTGCTGATAGATTTTGCAACCATATTTTTAGAAGTAATGAATACTAAGTGGTCATTGCGTATTTTGCTATCCCTTTTAAGTGTTAAAGGACTAACAAAATGTGTTGGATTGTCTTGGTATTGTTCACGAAAACAACGAAGAAAGAGTTTGACTCGATTTCTCAAAGAGATATTTAATGGCACCGATAGACAAAGACTGACTTGTCTTAAAAAAATGTACGGTTTCTGACCGATTTGTTTATTTGTATTTAGGACCTTTCGCACCTTCAAAGTTCTCAACAGGGCGTCGTAGGGCTGAAACTGTACTCTAAATTCATTGACTGTTTTTGATTTGACATTATGCGAACAATACAATACATTTTTGGAATTTTTCCGCTAACTGGGGCAAGCTGTCGCGAAGCATTCGCTGTATAAATGATTTGTTTCTCGCTAATCGGGCTTCTACCGGCGTCAAGGCGCCGTCACTATTAAAACAATTATGACTATGATTCATCCGCTATCGGCGCCGAAGCGAGGGGTTATGGAAGCATACTTTAAAATATTGAAAACTTTGCTTAAACACGTCACGTACCGGTGCCGTCTAGCATTTAGAATCTTCATTTATATCTTGAAACTTGGAATTTCTGTACAGTTGGGAAAAGTTATTCACGTCATCATCTCCCTGTCTCCAATTACTGATTGTTTTCTGCAATGTACCAAAGTTTTTCGCGCGTCTACTTCTCGAAATGATTGCCCCGTTTCTCGTCGTGGCCGACCGTAATCTGTTCGTTGGGTAACATCGGGTTACATCAAGTTTCCTTCGCGTATTCATTTGTTTCGAGTTTGCTTAACGCGCCCCGTGTGAGTCTTTGTTCTTATCGTACATACCATTGTTTGCTTCGGTTACTTCGGATTATCTTGTTATCTAAAACATCCTCATGACTACTCATACACTCGGACTTCTATAACGTTTGATTTTTTTACCACCACTACCACCAGCACTTATCATTACTGATAAAATGGTTCATGCTTGCGGTATACATACATATGTGTACAGAGATGAATGCTGACCTTTTCGAGTCCACTACTCTTAATATTTCTGAAGCATAGATATTTTAACTGTTATAAAAGTTGATGTTATTACATGCATGTTTTTACTACTCGGTACAGATCTTCTGATTCCACTTTCACTTCAAATAATTAATTGATAACTCATAAACCGATTCACATATAAGCATTGTTTGTGACAATAAAATTTACAAGATGCGAATCGGATTTCGATTCGCATCTTGACAAATCTCTACAATAACTCGAGGATTTGTAGATTCCTCTTGTTTAATTCCTCTCAAAGATTTTTCCCTAATAATACCTATTTGCTTTGTACATTAGCAGTTTTTTCATTCCGTGCGCCAGTTTCACCCTTTTGTCCAAAAAGACGTTCGCAAAATCGAAACAGCTCAGCTGATAGAAAGAGGTCATTGCCCGCAATGAATATCCCTGCATTTCTATTGGGTCTGCGAATACTTTGTCCACGATTTCTACGTTACACGCTCTGCTGTGAGATTTTTTCAATGTTAACTTGTTCATATCATTCTCATTGCATCCTATACTTATCAATCTAAGTTACTTATTGTAAATTGCACTATCATGTAATTAAATAGACTAACAGTTAAATATAGCATTAGGTAGAATCTGATGTAATTTTCGATAAAATTCTGAATCTAAAATCTGGAATTTATCGACATCTCTGTGGCTATCGGGTTTATAACAATCTCTTAAAGCTGTTGTCCGTCGAGTTTCTGCGCATAGAAGCATAACTTCCCGCCGTTATGTGCCGATCTATCGTAATGCACACAGCGCCCGCTATTGTTACCATTTACATCACAATTTGTGCAACCATTCCGTCTGCGTGGGTTCGAATGCTACGATTAATGTTACTTCAGTTGTTCCTGCTCGTCGTCCTAAATGTAATGTCTTCGGAATTAGGTTAATGCCATGTACATTGTTACGAATGTAGGTTGACTAACCGTTCTTCACATACATTGGTTTATCTTGAAGGCAGTTGAACTGACTTTGAGGTTATATTGTAGTTTTAAATTGATGTGGCACATGTTTTTTTTAAAAGTTTTCTTTAAAAGATGAACTTGTACAATCGCGATCGACTCGATATTAAAAAAAATATTCGTTATAAGTTTTCGAAATAAGCTTTTTGTTTTAAACGTTTTGTGTCAAAACACATTTATTTATCCTTCCTAAAAAGGTAAAAAGCTACTTTCGAAGTGTGTTTAGTTACCTCCCTGTTAAAAATACCCTAAAATAGGAACAATTTTAGATGTTGTCATATCGATATAATTAAGTAATAGTACATTACGTGGTGCTGCAATAGCACTCTGGAGTAATCATAGTTATCGTTGGCTGTAATCCACCACATTACATAGTCAAAAGAGACAAAGCAATTGACGCTTTGCGACATCGCAAACGTCAAATTCTGAAGCTCTTTCACAGATTCGATATCGGATTCGGCATTTTGCAACCACCGCTGGCGCTGGCGGTCGTAAACTAAACTGGGCAATGGAATATACGACTTGAGGCCGCTTCGAAAAATAGATTTGGTTACCTTTATAAAATTAACGGAATTTCTTCACTTCCGGAATGAACTCAACAAACGATAGTAATCTATGCATCTGTTATCCGAAACGTTTCTCTAATACCTCGCGAAGAATTTTAAATTTATCGTCTAAATAATAAGCTATTTCTAACGGTGTCGTGTGGAATTAATTTTCGTGGATTAGAAAATGTTAATCTCCTATGATAACGCTCTAGGCTTATGTGTTTTTCGGTACAAAAATTGGCCTTTATCAGTCTCCAAGCAGCCCAGCCCAGTCCAGTCAACTATCTCTATTTTGAATCCCCCATCATAATTAGCAGGAGTTACTGTCATCCCGATGTTATACTTTATAGAGTTGACATGATATTATTAACTTTATTGTCTTTATTTAACTAATGTTTTAAATAACTATTTAGTGGTCACTTTATCGCAAATGAATACAATAAATCGTAAAGCTATCACGTTCAGTTTTGTTGTGTTGACCTCGGGTCGTTTTTTACGACAGTAGGCGGAGCAATCAAATTGAAAATCGATTTATTTACTTGATGGCTCCGTGGCGCAGTTGGCAAAATATTTTCTTCGGCGTCGGGGGTTCGATTCCCACGCGGGACAACTATTTGTGTGACCCACAGATAGTTGCATCTGGGTGTTTGTCCACGAGAAATTTATGTTTGTAAAACGCCCTTACAACACAGGATAATGTTATCCTAAAGTAAATATTAAAAAAAAAAAACAAAAAACAATTATGATTGTTCAAATATATAATACTCTTCAGATGTTGAGAAATTCAAAAACCCATGATTACAGTGATGGCAGTGATTACAGAAAGGACTTACTTTTTCATTGGGTATTTCATTTTATGAAACGTAAGTGAATTATAATTAACATGACTTCATTGAAAGTTCAAAAATAATATTGACTTCGTCTTTAATTGATATTATAAACTTAATATTAAAAATCAGTTATCATTAGTATAGTTTTGACTATTTCACTGCAAAATATTAGCAAAGTTAATAATATTTGACACGAATAATAATGAGCTAAAAGAGTATTAGTTGACAAGTAATTCGACTTGCTCGTTTCGCCCGGGCCTTCTTTGGACAGCGCGGTGTTTTGTTTAATTTTCGTAAATCAATACGTTTCGTTTCGGTTGCGAGACGGTTCGAAGTGCTTGGCGAAACTTTCCATGGTTTGTTGGATCCGCTTCGTGCGAGGAGAGGTATCAGGTTCCATGAAACGAAACTGTAAGTACTACTTAGGCTAACGAAGTAATTACCACCTAATCGATGAATATGATATCCTAACCGTTTGAGACTTTCATATACACCACCAAATTGCTTTTTGGTCTATCGTATGTTAGATGCATAGTTTCTTACTATTTATAAACAAACAAACCGTCTTAATTTACACGTTAAGC